TTGGTACTTGATGGTAATCTTGTCGATGGCTCGGCTGTCGATGCACATTCTCCACGATCCATCCTTTTTGGGTACCATCATAACTGGGGTTGCACACGGGCTCATGTTTTCTCTGACTAGTCCTCTTGCAATGAAGGTCCCACACTTGTCGTTGTAGTTCTTCATACTCCGCAGGTCTTAATTTATAGGCAGATTGGTTTGGCAAGACGGATCTTGGTATATGGTCAATGGCGTACTGAATGTCCCTTAGTGGTGGTAATCCCTCTAGTAAGTTGTTGGTCATAACATCCTGAAAATTCTGTATCAATGGTTGCAATGGTGTTGGTACCTCTCTTTCTTCTTCACTTCCTTCCAGGAGGACTAATGCTAGTGTTTCAGGGGCATCTCTAATTAACTGCAGGAAAGTGGTATGAGTAACTAATGTTGCCTCTGTATCGCTCTCACCTTTCGGCATTCTTAGCAGGTAACTATGTTTCTCATTCTTCTTGAAAGAATGTGTTCTTGAACCCGTCGTGTTCAGTCTTACCATCAAATTTCCCATGCCTACCTAATAGAATGTGGCAGGAGTCAATAGGAACCACGTCGCACCATACCTGTTTCATGGAGCTGGTCTCCGATGGAGAAGTCAATTAGGCATTGCTGATCCACACGTATCTCATTGCCCTTCTTCAGTCAGGTTAGAGAATATGATTGGGGATGCTCCTGTGTGTCCAATCCAAACTTTTTTTATCATGAGTGTGGACACCACGTTCTTGCAACTTTCACTGTCGATGATTAGGATGCAGACCTTCCCCTTGACGGTGCACTTGGTGCAAAAAATGTTATACCTTAGCCAAGGTTGGTCATGCTCGGGTTCGAACTACAGTATTCGTCAAACGACTAGTTCTCCTTCAATACCGTGGAGCTAAAGCTCTTCTTTTGGGCTCTCCTCTCATTCCTCATCGACTCCCTTGACGACACATTGATCTGTGAGTGTGACGACTCATCTTGTTGGGCAGCTGGAGGCTATGTGACCTTAGTCCTGGCACCGAAAACATTTCCTGGCTAGCACTGTATTTGAGGGACTACCTTTCTCTAGCTTCTTCCCGCTCTAATCTATTTTATCAGTTCCTTGTCCAATTATGTTATTTCCTCCTAAGGCACCCTTGTCGATCGTAGAAGTTGCAGGTAACTGCTTGGCTGAAGGTGGCGGTCTGAAGGATGACTGTTGTCTGTTTTACTTCTGTTGCTTTTCCACCTTGAAAGTTAGTGTCTAGACATCCCCAAAATCCAATACGGTTGTAGCTATACCAAATTGCTAAAGGTCGGCTTTAAACCCCCGAGATATCTGGCGATCATATGCTCTTCTAGCTCTGTCATCTTGCACATTAACTACAGGTGGTCAAATTGGGCCATGAACTCCTTAACCGACAGATCTCCTTGCTGCAAGTTGTGGAGTTTTAGGAGCATGTCCTGGTGAGGTACTTCTTTTGCATTGCCTTCTTCATTTTCTCCCGCTTAGTTATCTTCTTAATTCCTTCACTCCTCCTCTGCCTTTGTAGATTTTTCCACCATAAGAAGACATTATTCTTTAGTTTAATTGCAGCTAGCTTAACTTCCTTGTCCTCTGGTATGTCTTTATACTCGAAAAATTGTTTGACTGATTGCAACCAGTCGATAAACTTATCCCATGCCTCCCTCGAACTCTGGGAGGTTAATCTTGATGCCAAAGTCCCGCTGACCTTCATAAGGGGTATCTTCTCTCAGCCTCCTTTGATATTAGATACCAAAATGACGTGATTGGCATTCTTCATCATTGTGATCTTCCTTGTGGAACAAATTAATCTCTTCCTCCCTGCATCCATTAGACTCTCCCGATCACGATCGAAGGTAATCTTTTCCTGGTTTCCATCATCCAGCTCTGCTAGTATCCGTTGTAGATGATGGATTTCTCGTTGACTCTTCTCTCGGGTCGAGTCTGATGAACCTCCTTGCGGTGGCATGGCTAGGGTTGGGAATCGGCTAAATTTGGTGAAGGTGACTTGGGTTGGGGCGCATGCTAGGAGACCCTATGATAAGACTAGGGTTGAGCTAGCTCTGATATCAAATAATACTGGAACTAGTAAGAATAACAGTAGAACAAAAACAAACTTTTATTAATATAGAAGTAGGATTAGAACCCGACTCAAATAGAAAGGAAATACAATAATAGGTGAATCCTCCGATTAGGGGTGTAGGAAGATGTCCAAAGACGGTGGTGGCTTCAGCGGGGTGGTAAGGCGAGATGAGAAAGGTTGGGTGATTGTTTGGGTAAGTTGTGACGGTGCTTGGTTGGTTGTAGGTAGGTAGGACAACATGGATGTGGGAGAAGTGGGAGTGGCGTTAGAGTGGTGGAGGCGTATGATGGTGGTAGACAGTTAGGGGTGAGGTAGGAAAAGAGGTCGGTGAGAAGAAGCAAAGGAGATTGGAAGTTTACAACGCCACCTCGGAGCATGATACAGCTAAAGCATCACTTGCCGTTAGATACAGCCCTAATAAGAGGGAAGAGACTCCACACAAGAGATTAAAAGATAAATCTACTAGAACTATCTCCTACACACAAGGGGCAACTATTTATAGCCTCCTACTTCTATACATAATGAAGGGGAGTGGGTAGGTAAGAAGAATCTAGAAGGAAAACTCTTCCAGAAGAAGACGGGTGTGGAAGATACGCGAAGCAGCCGCTGGATCGCAAGGCTTTACGATCCGCTTCTTCATCGCATTAGATCGTGATTCCGTCTGCATCTCTATTCCGCGAAGCTTTGCAGGTTCGCGAGATTGAAGCGCCCCGAAGCTACGGGGTGCATTCAGCATCCGCGTCAATCATTTTATAAAATTTTTATTCAGTTTAAGCGTACTTTTCTATCACACAATAGGCTTGATGCATTCCTTTACTTCACCCAACCAACTTGAATCTACTAATAACATCCCCATCTATATCATCATCGCTTTGAACAATAGACCTCAAATATCTAAAGCACTCACGTCCTTTAATGATTTGATCACCCAAAATTACAACTCTGTCACTAAAGGTAATACTACTAAAATTACATTCCATGTATTTAGTCTTAGATCTACTCAAACGAAAGCCTTTAGAATCCAATGTAGACATCCATAAATCAATTCTAGTATACACATCTTTAATCACTTGAATATAAGTCATATCAACACATTTCTTCTCTAGAACTCTCCAAAGGATTTATCTTGAAACTTTATCGTAAGCTTTTTTTAAATTAATAAAAATCATATGTAAATCCTCCTTATTCTCTCTATACTTCTCCATTAAATACTTCTCCATTAAACCTCTCAACTCAATAAATGTATAGCTTCCATAGTAGACCTACTCAACAAAAATATGAACTGATTATGAGAAATCTTTGTGTCACATCTTAACATATGTTCAATTACCCTCTCCTATAGTTTTAAAGCATGCACATCAACTTAACTGCTCTATAAGTTGCACACTCTTGTAGATCCTCTTTACTCTTAAAAATGGGGATGAAAATACTCTTCCCCCACTCAGGCATTTTTTAGTTCTTGAAAGAATATTAAAGAGTTTAATAAGCCAAAAACACTCTCAAAACTCCTAAATATTTTCACACTTAAATTGGAATATCATCAGATCCTACTGATTTTCCACCCTTGGTTTTCTTGAAGGCCTCCTCAACTTATTTTTTACTAATGCCACGATAAAAATAAAACTTTTATTATTACTAATGATATTAAGATACTAAGGTCGATCGTATTTTCAGCAACTTCACCGAAAATTTTATCAAAATAGCACACCTACCTATGTTAAATATCTTCCTCTAAGAAAATAACTTTTTGATTTTCATCTTTAATACACTTTACTTGAATTAAATATTTACTTTTATTTTCTCTTTGTATAGACACATTTGATTGAACATTACTTTTGTCACATGCTATTAAACATTTATAAATGTCTAAAATCATGCTTTGATGTTGCTTTCTTTTTCTTTTTCTTTTTTTTCTTTTTCTTTTTTTTTTGCCTAAAGTTTATAGTGTGCCTAGCATTTATTTCAAGCTCTTAGTCGGACTTCTTTCATCTACCACATATGGGAATTGGATGATATTGTGAGCATGATGCCTGTATTATGCTTCCTTTAATGCTGATAGTTTGAGCTTGTAAGTTTGATAAATTTGATGCTATGGATGATAATTAATTTGCATAATTGTCATCTTAAATTTGTGTAAGCTAATGCACACAAGGTGATGAGATAAAACATCAAGGACTAACCATAAGCCAACGATGATGCAGTAGCTGATAATAGCATAACGTCCTTCAATGCCTTTTGAGAGGAAAATCCACTAGCATTTGGTCTATATAAGTTGGAGGGATTTGCTTGTAATGTTGATAATCACAGTGATCTACAAGGGTTTAAAATTCATATACGAGTGATTGCGGAGCATAGTAGTTCTTGACTCATTCTAGGTCGAGTGATCCCTGAGGTTGTCCCTACACTAGGTGTGTGATGCAAAAATGTGTTGTATTTATTCACCAAGCACGTGCATCATGTCCAGCATCACTGAACAGTAAATGTTACTTTCCAATGAGGGCAGAACTATTCAATGGGCATTGGTGTTTGGAGATCCCAATCAGTTCTAACATGCGAAAACGATCATGAGCTACTTTAGTATTTCATTGTTGCTTATACATAGAAGTGAAAACTTATTTCAAATGTTGTTCCTATATGTAATGCAAACCCGTACTGACATTAGGATAAAAAAATTTCCTGGCTGTAGATTACCTTGTAGTGTTGACAATGTCCCCTTTGAACTGGTTAACTACCCATTATATACATAATTTATTTGACCATAAATGATACTTGAAGTCAAAATAAGTACTTTTTTAAGATGGAGTTCATACTAGGCATATAAAATGGCCGTGACATCCAGAAGCTACTTTAAAATCCACAAAAAAGGTGAAAATTTCTAGGGGTATTAGAGAACGCTGAAATTACCTGGAACTTTGGGTCATTATTTTGAGCTAATGTGTGTGCAAGCATCCGAGTCTGCTCCATTGCTGCTATGTTGGATAGGTTTGAACCTACCAGCTGACCGGCTGAGGCCATTTGTGCTTGTTCCTGTTATTTAGTGGAAAATTATACGTGCAAAAAAAAAAAATAAATAAATAAATAAATAAATAAATAAAAACATTATCATTCCAAATACTTACTAATCAGAATTGTAAATAGAGAAAAAAGCTCTAAATTTGTCAGTACTTAAACTTTCCTAGAAAGAAGGGACATGATACAAACCGAGATGAATTTTCACAGAAATTAAGGCAAATAAAATTCTTTACTTCACCAATACAAAACAACACAACACAAATGCATAAAGATAAGCATCTACAATTCAAGAGGTAGGCGATTTCACTGAAAGCCTACAATTCGAGAGGGAGAAAATCTCCCCCAAACCCTAATCCTATGAATCAAAGCCAATAATCTCATAGCATAACCTAACCCTAAGCACAATAAGCCTTATTTATACCCCACAATAATAACTAATAAAAGACTAAATTGCCCTTAGACGTCAGTGTAACAATACTCCTCTCACAAAAAGACACATGGTCCTCAAGGTGAGAAAAAAAGAAAATTATTATTGGATCCTATCATATGACACCCACATGTCATCATCATCTGAAAATCCTTTCTATTTAATTAGAAATTTGTAGTGGCCTTCATGAGTTTGAAATGCAGTTATATGCACATCATTCGGCCGCATCACAACTTATTGGTACCTTGACTATAAGTCAATCTTAGAGAAGATAGCTGCTTCAAAAAGCTCATCTAGCAACTCATCAATCACCGAAATAGAAAACTTGTCCAATATTGTTTCCTTGTTTAGAGCCCTGTAATCCATACAAAACCTCCGACTCCCATCCTTCTTCACCAATAAGGCTGTACTGAAAAAAAGGCTCACTGTGGGTTTGATAATCTCTGCCTCGAGCATCTCCCTAATTAACCCCTCTATCTCATCATTCTGAATTTGCGGATACTGATAAGATCTGACACTGATAGGAGAAATCCATTGCTTCAATATAATGGCATGCACTTGCTCCCTCGGTGGTGATAATCGGCTAGGATGCTTGAAGATGTCAGAAAACTTTTATAGAAACTACTAAACACACTCGGGGAACTCTACTGACTTTGTATGTCGGATTTCCTTTAGACTTTGCAACTCCAAAAAATAGTTCAATCATGCTCCTTGTATCGTACTGACCATGGTTTTGAATGAGACTATGGTTCTGCACAAGCGAGCATCCCCTCTAAACCCGACACCAACTCTCCCAATCCTCACAGTCACAAAATAATTCAGTAACACTTCTACAAGGCGACATCAAAATTGCAGGAAAGCTAGTCCTCATAGCATTTGCACAATTTTCTTCAAAATTCTAGCAGTTATCATTATTTTCTTCACAAGCACCATGAGCATAGAAGGTCCACTAAAGCTAACTAGCGTGAATTGTATTATAGAATACAATAAAAAGGACCAGGAGTCCAAACCCAAGCAAAAGTCCATCAGTTAAATGTTAGATTTAGTTATTTCATGACTATCTATATAAGACTACGCCATCTCCAAATAGTGGTCCAGACACATATGAAAAAAAAGATATTTTTTAATAGTAATATTAATTATGTGAGCCCCTTACAAGACTAGTAGGCCCCACTGTTAGAAAATTTTGATGGATCAATGAATGCAAAGATCTATGACTAGAGAAGCAGGAGGAAGCCAAGTAATAAATTTGAAGCAGCATAAGAGAGAGTTCAAAATCAAGAGTTATATATATATATATATATATATATATATAGTATGAGAAGAGTCCAAAGAGGTACCCTACCCATACTATACAAGTACATAAAAACTCCAAAAAAATGTACAGATAGACTCAAAAAAAAATTAAAAACAAATTTAAAGCATGCAGAAAACAGTTGCTAGGGACGAGCCAGTTTAGTCATCCTCTAGTTTTAGAAGTGGAACCAGGTAACAAGCTTTGAAAAGTTGTGTCATTGTCAAGAGTCACTAAAGTATCATCCATTAAGTTTTCAAGTTGGAGTGAGCCCCTAGGCTTTTTCTTCTGCCGAGAAGTATAAACCTGTCATTTTTCATGTGAAGACTGGCTCATATGATCATCGATATGATTTGATGTTTGAACTGCAGTAGGAGGAAAGACAGTCGTTGCCACCGCGATAGGTTCCAGTGTATGCGAAGTGTGAATTGTTACCTATGCACCTGATGCTTCCTGAATAGAAGCTGCGAGACTATCTTGATTTTCAGTTCAAACATTATCCATTATAGTATGGTCAGGAGAAGGGATCGTAGGGGCAGACACCAACTCATGTCTTGTGGTGTTTCCCTCCTTAAGTTGGCTGTCATCAAGTTTGTTGGGAGCGCGTTCAGGCACATGGGGTGCGCTAACAGTGTGTTCCTGCTTTTGACTATTGGTTCTCAATTGTGGGTGCAATTTGAAATATTTGTCTTGCGGGTGTCCAAACATCTTGCAGTGCTTGCAGTAGTATGGTTTTTATTCCATAATGATTTTTTGTCAATAACCATTGTGAGCAGATCCATCTACCTGCAAAGTTTTTCCAATTATAGTCTCAATTGCATATAAGATAGATAGATCAAAGAAATGAAGCTTGAGTTCAAGTAATGAGAACCAGATGGGTGCAATTGAGGTTATTGACTGGGATCAAAATTGGGGGTCTATTTGAGCAATTTCATATGTTTGTCCTCAATTGTGATGAATTTCTTTGAGAAAATTCTCATGTAATCATCTTCTGTGCTCAGCTGTATCATAACATGTCTTCCATCGAAATGGCCCACCTGTTGTCGGCACAAAAAGGAAAGAAAGGTTGTTTGGGGGGGTCACCCGTAAGAAGCTGTCGGCAGCCGGAATTGAAATCCCATCGCCCGCTTCGGAAGGACGTTTTAATTTACGTAT